CACACTCAGAGAGCTGCTGTTGCAATATTTTTTTAGTTAAACCAAAAGAGTTCATCACGTGAATGCAACTGTAGTCGAAAAAAGGAGATGAGAAAAGAGGGTTAGGCATTAAGATAGCTTCGCTAAATTCACTTATCGGCTAGTTCTTTTCCACTTATCTCTGCCTTGCAAAGTGGTGATTGTAAATATATTGGCGTTAAAACGCCATCAACGAATGTGATAAGTAGCGTTGTCTGAACAGATCGCTTCAAAAGAGTTACTTTGTCAAAAGTAATGCCAAATGAAAGGGGATATTTAATAATCGGATCCACACGGACCAAGTATTCTGTAATCTTTAATTTCATCTCCTCCGCCATAACATTTCGTAGCCTATTATATATATAGTGCACAGCGTGGCACAAACATTCTCCTTTGTTCTGCCTTCCTTTCGTTTTAACGTATCTGTAGAAAAAAAGGCGAGAAGAAAGAACAGAAGAAGCCATCTAGATATAAATCATAACAGAAAAGAAAAAACCGTAGATAATGTAAGATTCAGCGGTCAAAACAACCACTTTCGTGTAAGAATAAAATTACAGCTTTATATTATAACAGTAAAATGATGACATTCAAAGAAGTCAAGTAGAAGAAGCAAAGAAAAGCACCTCTTTATATCAGGTATCGAATCAGTTATTGTTTTGAATAAGACAGCTGTGTGTACACAATAGGATGGACAATCAACTAGCACAATCCAGTTGGATGTCAGCATGTTGACTGCTTGAGATCTTAAAGGTTATTTGTATTTTGTCTTTGAAGAGAAATATTATCAGATAAATATTCTGATACAAAGGACAGTATAAAATCTATTTCATTTCTTCGGAAACGTCTTAACTCAATAGACAACCATGGTTATCACCTCTTTTTAGTTATCAACTTATGTGGAATTGTTTTTTCGCCAGTACAAGTACAATATCAGTCATTTCAGCGATTGTCAATAGATAAAAAGTAGAAGATTAATGTTATTATACCTGTTCATTGTTTGCAATGGTGAGTGTAAGACTAGAAACTGGAAATAATTCCAGACTGTTGACTTAGAATTGCAAATTGTTCTTTGAAAAGATGCTGATATCGTTTGAGGGTAAGTTGAGTTAGTACAGACTACGGAATGATCACAAGACTGACAGAGAGGAGGAAGAATTCAATTAGAGAACGATTTGTAGTAGGTAATAAATCTAAACATGTGTTTGTTATATGAAAATTAAGTCACAAGGAGAAAGAATGAGGAAAAAGTTAGAAGCAAATAGAAAAACTGTATGCCTAAACTATAGAAGAACTATATACGTAAAAAATTAATCTACATTAAAACTAATATGAGACAAAAAACCAGATATGTATATGATCGTACAAGAGAGAACACTTATTATTTCATTGTCATTGTATATCGAACGCTTCAGTCTCCTTTAGTTTTTACTACTAATTCATGTAGGTTTTTTCCCAAAACGCCAAACTTGCTGTTAGGATGTAGATTTATTTACCGCCATAGATAATTGATCTTATTGATATTAGATATCTTTACAGTTTTGTACATTTATTCTTAGTAACATAACAGACATTGTTAAAGCTTTTACACTGATTCGTGCATAAAAGTTAAAAGTTTAATTGTTATATGTGTATAGGACTACTATTACGATAAAGATTTATAAATCAGAAAAAAATGAAAGTGATTGAAATAAGTCTAGTATAATCTACAAATTCGTTGTAGAGAGATGCTTTCTTTTAAATAGAATCCGCTTTAATTTGCCTCGTGCTCATTTTTTTTCCATTCCTTCTATTTTCGTTGAGTCAAGGTAAACTCCAATATTATTATTCATGTTATAAAAGCAACTCTTTTTATTGAAGTTATTAGTCGTCGAGGAAACGCTCGATAATACCATTGAATAGTTTGTTACCCTATAGTGATGTCCAATCCCGATGATATTGAATTTAGTACCGTTAAATTTGGTAATCAATATGGTCCTGTTCATGTGGGAGTGCAACCGTTAAGTGCATTTACTGGCTGGGACAATAAACGAATAACAGACGATGAAAAATCTCTATTAATTGCAATGGCAGAAAATGAAGGAAACTTCGATTCTGTTCAATCGTATGACAGTGAAATAGTATCAGTAGGTGCTATGCAAAAAACAATTAATAGAGAAGGTAAAGGTGAATTTTCTATTCAAGTATGGCAATT